CGCGGCTGGGCTTATTAGCCGTGGGCTTAATAACCGGCGACTACTGTACCACAATATTGTAAATAGTTGGGATCAATGCTGTGTGCAAGTCCCTGACTACCACGCAATACATTTAGGGCTCTGAGAACATAATATTACTCACTTGAACATAGTTTTTGTTTTTGCAAACTTTTCGGGGATGGTATCAACAACAGAACAATTGACAATTCAAGAGGATCAATACCTAGTCAATGGCCAGGGCTGCAGGTCCGGAGATAACTGCTTAGAACTCTGTATGCGGTTGCAGGATGTATACGTCGGTTGACCGAGTTCTTCTCAGATGTCTGTGTTTCAATCTGTTCCCGGCTTGCTTTGCTTCCATTTTGACTAATTGTCTGAGCGGTTGCGGAATCGAAGTTGGGTTCGTATAAGACATCACACTGACAGCCACCGCCGTCCATAAACCATAAACTAGACTGAATTACTACAAGTGCTCAATTAAGTCCTGAGAAAAGCAAAAGTCATCAATTTTTAAACTGGGGTATCTATCAGAAATCACGTAGGTTACAGGGCACCTCGTCGCGCTTGACGGACAACCTATTATCTTCGTTTTCCTAGTATGCATGAACGAGAAGGGTGGTGAGGGTAGTTAGATTGACCATGTCTCCATCGGCGGAAACCCTGACATGAATGAACCCTTCTCCACATAGGTCTGTGGCGACGAGAGTCGAGGAAGGCATTACGGCCAGTACACCTGCGAGGCCTGCAAAAGTTTCTTCAAACGCTCCGTCCGCAAGGGTGCCGCCTACATCTGCCTGCGGGGCGGCGCCTGTGACATCGATGCGCGTCTTCGCAATCGTTGTCGATATTGTCGCTGGAAGCGCTGTCTGGCAGCTGGAATGAAGAAACAAAGTGAGTCGCATCTGGAAAAGTTCTTTATTTTGTCCTATCCTGTCTTCCCTCGGCAAGGGTAGGGTATATTATCTCACTTGATAACTGCAGGTGAACAACACCAATATAACCAACTGGTCTTAATTCTAGTCTCTATCTCTAACCCTAAAACCTGTAACCTTAACCCTGAGCGTAGTCCCAAAACCCCAACTCCAGGCCCAAACTCTCGACCCGAAAGCTCTAAACGTCCCGCTAAATCAATAATCCCTTTCGCGGCTTTGACCTCGTCAAAAAGACAAAGTGGACTGGTATATCAGTTATTCACACTGTCGAAAGAGACGGAATGATGGATTCCAGGAAGTAATTGAGAAGGGGGAGTATGATAGAGTACCGGACCAGTTGACACCATTTTCTAATCAACGTAACTCATACAGAAGTCATCATCGAGGATGGCATCCACAGTAGGACCGTTCTAGGGGGTGAATAAGTAGCCAATGGATAGGACTACATTTCTGGAGATTGTCATGTAGAACTCTGTAATCGGGCGCAGGATCTATACACCGGTTGATTGCGTTCTTTTCAAATGTCAAGGTTTCAATCTGTTA